AGTTTATAAATACACTAACTGACAATACAGAAAGTATATCTATTGATAATCATAATTGATAATAAACAATCCGTGACTGAGACAGCAATGTCATAAAAATCCAATTAGCTACCTGTATTTACAATCCCATGTGTATTATAAATGTATATTAACTCAAAATTTTGAAACTTTAAATTTTTATATCTAATAAGCTAATAAAGTTATATTAAAAATTCAAATGCCATTTACTATTAAATTAAAAACTCAAACATTTTATTAAATTAAAAATATGTGTTACCATTTAAAAAAACAAAGTTGACCNCTATTAAATTAAAAACTCAAACATTTTATTAAATTAAAAATACGTGTTACCATTTAAAAAAACGAAGTTTACCCCTCTCCAAGGCATAAGGGATGAACTTAAAAAGTATTACATAGTTAATAATTCAGGAATAATGTGTAACTAAAAATAATAAAAAAAAAAAATTTTGTAATTATTATTATTCTGCAAGTAATTGAATGGGTTATGAAAAAAAAATCACCCTGTATATAGATACACTGGGAAACGTAAGACCACACAAATTAATTACGATCGCAAGACAACTAACAAAAAAAAAAAAACAAAAGAGAACAGACCAAAAGATTGACCAGTTAAGGTATACGTCGGAAACGGTACAGAACGCAATATCCGTAATCCATACTCGGCGGCGGCCTTATCTCGGTGTCAATGACGGGGAGACAACCGATGACAACCGATTGTCATATTAATAGCTGGACGGTTGATATCGAGAGAGACACGTTTGAGCGCCAGCCTAGAGCGTAGGGTAGTGCCGTGTCATTTATAAATAGCGTAGTTAAATACTACCTAACTTCTTCACTCGAACTCGAACTCTAATACTAATACTAATATCTAATAGTTTTGTAAAAAAAGTAGGTGTTCGCTATAGTCCATGAAGGTATAAAAATATTAATTTTTTACATTGTTATAAAATACTCATTATTTAATTCAAAACTGTGTAGTAAACTTAATAAACATTTGAAACTAAAAGATTTGTATTTTACAGTAAAAATCTAACTATTTTGATATAATAATCATAATATTTGACCAAAAATTGAATAACAGAGACCTTTTTTGTTTTTTAATGTAATTTTGGTCACGATACTAAAAACACGTTCAGTCATTAGTAAAATATTTTTAAAAATTTTAAATTTTCACAAAGTGCCTATTTTAATGTATATAATAAAGTTAAAATAGTTCTCATAAAAATTCGAAGATACATATTTTTTTTAACTGCCCTAATATACAACATGATTTATTTATCATAACCGACTCAGTTACTTGCAGAATAAATATAATTTAAATATTTTAGTTTCGATGCGTAGCTGAGAAGGTATTAATTTTACTATGATGCGTTTTTTTTTTTTGTTTGTGTCTGTTACCACTTTTTCTCAGCTCTCACCGAACCGATTACTTTCAATGATACGTCAAAAGGTCACAAATCATATCTAGTCAAAGACATTACCCTCAAAAATTAAAAACATTTTCCTTGTTCCCCGTAAATGAGAGAAACCGCCAAAAAAATTTTTCCATGAGAAGTAGTATTTATATACATTTTTCATTTGACATACTATTTTTTTAAATCAGACTATTTCCTTATATACGGGGGGTGTTCAAATCTGAAAAATGCATATGGAAAGTAGAACTTTTTCAACTTAACTTTTGAAAGTGTTCCGGAAGGTCTGACACTTTTATATATATCTTAAATTAAAGTTCATGAAATATACTTTAATTTGAAAAAAAAAAAAACAATCAAGCACAGGGGGGTCGTGGCTCAGAGGTGACGTAGCATAGTTGGATCAAGTATAATGATATCTGACAGTGATTAAAATCACTATCAAAAATAAACGCTTCGATGCAAATCTTTAGATAGTGTTTAATTTTAAAAAGATTGTGGATTATTTCAAAAGCTACATGATCTTCTAGTTCCTTATTAATATCCTGATTAAGATAAAGTATGTCAAATGAAAAAGGGTTTATTAAAAAATATTATTTCTCATAAAAAATTGTGTGGATACATACACTTTTCAATAAGTTATAGCATTATAAAGTTAAATATCATATAAAAAATAAAATCGAGAATTTTCACACGAAAATAGCATTTGATAGCCATTCTCGCCGTGAAGACAAGTACAGAGGTCAAATTTTTTTTTTTAAATTAAAGTATATTACATGATCTTTAATTTAAGATATATATAAAAGTGTCAGACCTTCCGGAACATTTTCAAAAGCTAAGTTGAAAAAGTTAATTATTTGTAAATTGTAGTCTATTTATATCCCCCCCCCTGTGGGCAGATCAAGGGTCAAATTTACAAAAAAATATGTCAAATGATATGTAAAAACATCAAACATCTATAAAAAAAAAAATTATATTGATATGTTCATTTTTGAAAAAGTTACGGCAGTTTTTAGTAAAAAAAATTGAAAAAATTTCGAAAATTAGCGATTTTTAAATTTGTAATTTTTTTGGAGGTTTCCCCCATTTACGGGGAACGAGGGAAATTTTTTCAATTTTTAAGGGTAATGACTTTGACTAGATACGATTTGTGATCTCTTGACGTATCGTTGAAAGAAATCCGTTCGGTGAGAACTGAGAAAAAGTGGTAACAGACAAAAAAAAAAAAATAAAAAAAAAACACATTATAGTAAAACCAATACCTTCTCAGCTTCGCATCGAAGCTAAAATTTGACCTCTAGACTTGTCTTCGTGGTGAAAATAGACATCAAAGTTAATAAAAAATTATGATTTTTGTAAAATAATTCTTTTTTATATTTTTAACTTAATAATGCTATAACTTTTTGGAAAATGTTTGGATTAGTAAATTTTATTTTTTTATAGATGCTTTACCTATCATCTGGCATATTTTTTAAAAATTAAATTAAATTTTTTAAAATTAATTACTATCTAAAGATTTGCATCGAAGCGTTTTTTTTTATAGTAATTTTATTCACTGTCAGATATCATTATACTTGATCCAACTATGCCACGTCATCACTGTGCCGCTACCCCTCGTGCTGTGTTTTTTATTATTATTAACTCAAAAATTTAAAACTTTAAATGTTTATATCTAATAAACAAATTATGTTATATTAAAAATTCAAATGCCCTTTACTATTAAAATAAAAACTCAAACATTTTATTAAATTAAAATTATGTATTTTCATTTAAAAACAAAGTTGACACCCTTACAGGGATAAGGGATGAATATAAAAAGTATTAAATAGTTACTTACTCCAGAATAATGTGTAACTAATGAAAACAAAAAAAAAATGTTTAAATTATATTTATTCTGCAAGTAATTGAGTGGGTTAAGATAAAAAAATCATTGTGTGTATACTGTATACATTTTAGAATATAATATTATAAATATAAATTATATTTCATATAATTATATTATAGTTAACTATTATTTTTTTTGTTTTCAGAACAATTTAATCTGGATATATTTGTGCAATTTATGTCTATAAATTGTAATTTGACGTTTGGTAAGAAAAAACTAAATCAAATCTGACATGGGTAGACTTTAACTTATTATTTAAAATACCAATAGTTAGTTTTAACTTATATATTTTTAACTTATATTAATTTACATCAAAAGTTTTAAATTCTACTTTTTATCTGTTCTATATACACGTATAATTATATTTTTGAAAGATTACAACATTTATGTTACAATTAGTACCATTATTTATTTTTAAAAAATGTATATCATAAATCAAATAATATTTTCGGAAGGATATAGAAAAGTTTTAAATTTCTTTAATTAAATAAAACCCAAATTTTTTTGCACTTTACTAATATGTACAAATATAATTGTTTAATACTTTTAAATATGTTACTGTCGGAAAGACTTAAAAATTCTTGAATATTTAAAATCAGAATGTGTTATATTTTCCACAAAAATGTAAAGTAATTAAAATAAAAATTATATCACGGAGAAAATTGTCTTTATAAGGACCCTCTTGAATCATTCTTGATACTCTTTCATAATAATCTTCTTTCTTTAGTATTACAACAGAATTCCCCTTATCTGACTTTAAATAAAAACAGTTTTTATTTTTTAAGTCATTTATGAGCCGTGAATGTTTTTCATTTTTTCCTAAACCCCCTTTATTTATAACAGAATTTTTTTTGTAGAAAATTTAAACACTCCCTTCTTGCTAAGTTTTGATTATTAAAATCAACACTTTTAACCCCCATTTCAATGCCTACTAATAGATCTTCCATTGGAAATTTTTTTGGTAAAAAACTTGTTTTAAGACCCAACTTAAGTATTTCAGTTTCTTCAGCGGAAAAAACAATGTTTGTGTAATTTTTAACTAAATCGTCACCCCAGTTTTTAGAAAATGAAACTAACGGACTTTTATTAAAATTATTTATTTGACCCTTATTTTTGTATTCTAAAAGTAAATTTTGAAATTTTTTATTTAACTTCTTTTTTTTTGTTTTAAATTTATGCTCAACCACTTGGTACATCTTCAGCTCGAAGATTAATTTTTTGTGGCTTTGAGTTTAATATTTTTAATATTTTTTAGTTTTTTAAATTAATAATATTTTTAATATAGTTTTAATTTTACTTAATTAATTAGCTACAAGTGATCAATTTTTATTATATGTACAAACATAATTGTTTACTACTTTTAAATATGTTACTATATATGTTATAATATATGACTGTCGAAAAGACTTAAAAATTCTTAAATATTTAAAATCAGAATGTGTTATAATATGTGCAGAATATATTTTATACACAAATGTAAAATAATTAAAATAAAAATTGTCTCAGGGAGAAAATTGTCTTCAATTAAATTTTATTTTTAATAAAATACGGATCGATCACCAGTGTACATGATACAAGCCGGCCATAATACCCGTCCCGTCTATCATTCGCTTAGCCAAGAACCATCTTTGACTCCCTAACATGTATAAAAGGGGTCACCACATCGCTAGCATTTTAAGTTCGGGAAATAGAATGATTTAAAACTGCTTAAAGCAGAATTTAGAGTGAAACTTCAGGAAAATTGAAATAAATATAAAACTAAAACGTAAAAAAATTGTTCTTTTAAAATAATTTATTATCATAGAAGATTTTACTTATATTTTTTACATTTAAAATTCAACTATCTCGGAATTGTTTTGACCTTTTGATCCCTTTTGCATAAATGTCACTCCTATACAGTTTTTATGAATAAAGCAATTTTATTTAAAGATTGTTAACTGTCTATACTGTAATGATTATTACTCAATCTTACATTTCAGATGAATTAAAAAAATACTTTGTTCCACCAAGTGAGTAATTTCTTTGAGTAGAATTAAAACATCAACAAGCGCATCTTTAAAACTGCAGTTAATCTTCTTCTTGGTTGATTTTTTCGTAATATTTTCAGACGATGACATATTTGTTGTATCCATTCGAGAAGGAGCAATTCGAGATAATATTACTGATTACTTTGGTTAGAATATTTTCTTTGAAAATTAATTTTTTAATTTTTTCAGAAATGTCATTTATTACTGAATGTAGTAAAATTATTTTGAAACATAAATTTAAATTATGTTTCACCACTAGTTATCGTAGATATTCTATATAAATACACATTAAGAAAAGAAAAGTCTTACTTTAAAATGAACATTGCAATTTAAAGTATACTAATATAATAAAAAACGGAATTACTAAGCCACAACAGATAACTTTTGGAAATTTCATGGCCCTATGAATGTAAATTAACTAGGGTTGCACACTTATTGGACGACACAATGCGCTGCGAACCACAGTAAGATTAAAAAAAATAATAGAAAATTGAACATCACAGTCAATTTAGTATTTTTTGAAAAACTATAAGAATAAAAAAAACTAGTTTGTTCAATCCTATGGTCGTAATTAAATTAAGTTACTACTAAATATTAAGGAAACAAAATTATTTTTATAATTGACCATACCATAATAATATTAAATAAATATGAAGATAACGATAGACTTATAAGTAATTAAAGCAGTTACTTTTATGCGTTTAGTCGTTGATAGTTGATGTACAGCACAACCTCGTTACAAACTATCACATTACTATTATTAAATGGGATGACTTTAGACAAGGTCGTTGCACGTACCTTATAAATTAGGAAAAGATGATTTTTAAAGGGAAAGAAATACAAAATACACGAGTTCATTGAAGATGGAACATGCTAGGAAAAGAGTCTGCGGTTAAATTAAATTGGGGACTTTATTAATTAAAAATAAATAAATTTAATGCGAATAACCGAACGGTTAAAATATCTAGTCTATAAAAAATGACATTATTAATAAAATTATTACACCTACAACTTTTATATTTGAGAATACGATGAACGTCTTCGGGTAACCATCGGACATCGAACACGGCATTACTGCTAAAGCGCAGCGGATATTCGCCCCAAGTAAGCCACTGGTTTTAAGCAGTTCGACTTATCTTGCAAGACGTTGGGACTTTACGGAATAAAACGCACTACATCATTACATTGTCATAATGAATATACATCATATCAATATATTATAATAGTTAAACCACGAAGCATATCTACAAAAAAATAAATCAAATACGTCCGCCATCGTTGGGGTCTAACAATTCTATGAAAAAATCTCAAAAAAAGTATATTAACATTGCAGAAGGTATTAGAACATACTTGCTATATTGAGAGACCTATAAAAATAGGGGCACTCACAAAAAACAAAAAAAATTCGACAAACGTGCTTATGGCACGGCGTACAATAAAAAGAATCAGGGTCAGACATTATAATAAAAAATATACAATAACAACCCAAAGGGCTAAAGATTAGGAGGCAGGTTCAGCCGACGCCATAAAATTACAAAAAAATACAATAAAAGGCATGATATATCAGCGCACACAACTAAAAAAATTCACTACGCTCGAAATTTAACGCATAACCAGTTCCAACGATGGCTAATTTCAGAAAATTTGATCGATGTTTTACCCTGCGGTCTGAAATAGTATACAGCTTACTATATCGCACAAACAAATCACAACACCTTATCATGATTATTTATATGATAAACTCCGTCACAACACGCATTCAGCTGGACTAAAATATTTACCATATAAATATACAAAAAAATAAAGAGGTACCTTATTGTTATGTTACACTCTCGTTTAATTGATGTTTCAATCGAATATAGAAATTTTTTCGTAGCAATAAAGGTTTAGAACATAAATAATAAATACTTAACGCACATTTCTATGAATTTTTTTATAAATATCAACAGTATATAGTATATTTTACTTTTATTATCTTAAAATTGGTTAAAATTGTTTGAAATCCAAAAATTCTTTTTTAATTGTAAAATTGATTTCAGTTAGTACAGGAAATCCAAAGGATGAACCTGAAGAATGGCTTAATTATGACAGTAAGCTTAATTTATTGAATCTCAAAAATGATTCTTTGTGATAAAAGTATTTATTTTTTTTTTCCATTGATTATTCTACAAAAATAAACAATGCTCAAATTCGATAAAAAAAACCCGAGGGGGGTGGGGGGGTCATGGCACAGTGGTGACGTAGCATAGTTAGATCAAGTATAATGATATCTGACAGTGATTAAAATCACTATCAAAAATAAACGTTTCGATGCAAATCTTTAGTTAGTGTTTAATTTTAAAAAGATGGTGGATTATTTCAAAAGCTACATGATCTTCTAGTTCCTTATTAATATCCTGATTAAGATAAAGTATGTCCAATGAAAAAGGGATTATTAAAAAATATAATTTCTCATAAAAAAATTGTGTTGATTCATACACTTTTCAATAAGTTATAGCATTATAAAGTTAAAAATATAATCGAGAATTTTCACACAAAAATAGCATTTGGTAGCCATTTTCACCGTGAAGACAAAATAAAGTCCGCCATTTTTTTTCTATAATAAATCACATTACATAAGCTTTAATTTAAGATATATATAAAAGTGTCAGACTTTTCGGAACACTTTCAAAAATTAAGTTGAAAAAGTTATGGCACTTTTAAGTAAAAAAATTGAAAAATTTCGAAAATTAGCGATTTTTAAATTTGTAATTTTTTTGGAGGTTTCCCCCATTTGTGGGGTGTGAGGGAAATTTTTCTAATTTTTGAGGGTAATGTCTTCGACTATATACGATTTGTGATCTTTTGACGTATCGTTGAAATAAATCTGTTCGGTGAGAGCTGAGAAAAAGTCGTAACAGACATAAAAAAAAAAAAAAAAACACATCTTAGTAAAACCAATACCTTCTCAGCTTCGCATCGAAGTTCAAAACCATAAAAAATTGTAACCCAAAGTGTTCATTGGATCGAAAGTTATTAGATTTTTCAAAACATTGTCAATGAAACTTGTATATATTAGCTTCAATGCAAAGATGAGAAGGTATTGGTTTTACTATGATGTGTTTTTTTTTTTTTTATGTCTGTTACGACTTTTTCTCAGCTCTCACCGAACAGATTTATTTCAACGATACGTCAAAAGATCACAAATCGTATATAGTCGAAGACATTACCCTCAAAAATTAGAAAAATTTCCCTCANATATATAGTCGAAGACATTATCCTCAAAAATTGGAAAAATTTCCCACACACCCCGCAAATGGGGGAAACCTCCAAAAAAATTACAAATTTAAAAATCGCTAATTTTCGAAATTTTTCAATTTTTTTACTTAAAAGTGCCATAACTTTTTCAACTTAATTTTTGAAAATGTTCCGGAAAGTCTGACACTTTTATATATATCTTAAATTAAAGCTAATGTAATATACTTTATCATGAAAAAAAAAAAATTCGGACTTTATCTTATCTTCATGGTGAAAATTGCTACCGAATGCTATTTTTGTGTGAAAATTTTCGATTTTGTATTTTCCATTTTTAACTTTATTATGCTATAACTTTTTGAAAAATGTATGGATTAATACAATTTTTTCATGCAAAGTAGTATTTATATACATCTTTCATTCGACATACTGTTTTTTTAAATCGGACCATTTTCCTATATACGAGGGGGGTTTAAATCTAAAAAATGCATATAGAAAGTAGAACTTTTTCAACTAAACTTTTGAAAGTGTTCAGGAAAGTCTGACACTTTTATTTATATCTTAAATTAAGGCTTATATAATATACTTTATTATGGAAAAAAAATTTTTGACTTAATTTTATTTTCATGGTGAAAACAGACATCAAAGTTAATAAAAAAAATTCTTTTTTATATTTTTTACTTTATAATGCTATAGCTTTTAGTAAAATGTATGGATCAATATAACTCTTTTTTTTATAGATGAATGATGTCTTTACCTATCATTTGGTATTTTTTTTTTTATATATGACCCATTACCTGCCCACTGGGGGGGATTTAAAATGACAACTTTTTCACAAAAAATTAATTTTTTTAACTTAAATTTTAAAAATGTTCCCGAAAGTCTGACACTTTTATATATATCTTAAATTAAAGCTAATGTAATATACTTTATCATGAAAAAAAAAATTTTGGATTTTATCTTATCTTCACGTTGAAAATGGCTACCGAATGCTATTTGTGCTATATTTGTGTGAAAATTTTCGATTTTATATTTTATTTTATTTTAATATACCTTAAAAAAGTATTAATTCTCATTAGATTTTTATCTCATTTAGTTTCAATAACTTCAATGAATATCAAAAACCCCATCATTATAGTTTTCCCTCGTTTTATGAAATTTCTTTTTCATGTTAAAAGTATTATTTAGTTAAAGATACTACCCTTAAAAATTGAAAAAATTTTATAATACATTCAATTTAGTACATTTTTTTAACAACAATTTGAAAATATTTATTTTGACAATAAGCTAGTATAACTTTTTAAAAAATATTTTTAAAAAGGAATTTATTTTGTTATAGCTTTGATGCGAAGCTGAGAAGGTATTGGTTTTACTAAGATGTGTTTTTTTTTTTTGTGTCTGTTACCACTTTTTCTCAGCTCCCCCTCTGCGCTGGGTTTTTTTATTTTTTGTCTTTGATAAAAAAATAGAATTTTATTTTTATTAAAAGTCGAAAAAATAATTTTTGATTCCTTTAATTACAAAAAATATGATGGGTCATTAACAACTTAAGGATAAGTACTTATTGGGTACAAGCATTTTAGTAGATATAATGGGTATGAAGCATGGGTAGAGTTCGTACTAGTGTAAGCTACATTTCTATTACATCTACTAAAATACTTGTAATCCAATAAGTTCTTATCTTTAAGTTATTATTGACTCATCAAATTTTTATAAGAAAAGGACTAAAGAATGGCTTTTATCTTATTTCAAAAAAATGTATAATTTAATTTTTATATTTTTCTTATTAGTCATTTAATAATTAGCAAATTTGACTTTAGATACAAAGCTTGTTATTTACAATGACTTAAGGGAATGTATAAAGTGTCAGAATCGTAGTTTTTTTTTAATATTTGAGATAGTTTCTGCACCATTGGATTTTGAGACGACGCACAGTAGTCTTAAAATTATACTTCTAAAGTGATACTTTTGAATTTTAGAAAATTAATATTTTTGTAATGGGGATATATTCTATACATACTAAAGTATACTATTAAGAATAATTCATTTTTATGAATTATTTACCATTTAAAAAGATGATCAAATAAAGAAAATAATAATCTATGAAAAAGAATGTCATTATTTTTTTTCAATTATCACATCATTTAAACGTCCTATTATAACAAAAATTGAATCTTTTCGTACTATACATACACTAATAAATTATTAAATGCTTTCTATGTATACTACATATAGATAGTATTTAAGATTTATTAATGACATTCCATTTATCAAAATCCTCTATGTAACAATGAAAACGTTTACTTAAATTAATATTTTCCTAGCATAGTTATAAACATTTAGGTATATTCAAAGTATTTATCGAGTTATACGTTGTGTACCATCAAATAAACCACTGTTTACTAAAAATATAAAAAACGTAATTTATCTAAGGAAAGACTAAAAGAACTACTGTATTCATTATTCATACATTTTAATAAATTAATTAACATTATATAAAAGATTAAAAAAACTTTATTTAACCTAATTATGTATAGGTTCAAAAATAACTTTGCTCAAAGAATATCAAAAGCGGTATACATTGATGAAAGAAATTTACAATATTTCAGATGAAGAAATCGAAGGATTAAAACATAACACTTTAATAAAACGTAATTGGGATGTGGAACTCGAATAAAACGAATATTTTGTTTGCAATATTCAATAAATAAATAAACTGAATACATAATTATATTGCTAAATATTGCAATGTTAAATTATTTTTTGTCAATCCTTAAAACTATTTATTTATTGAAACCTTATAATTATAAATTGAAAAAAGAGTTATACTAAGGACGACTAGTAACTAACTACAACTGTTGTGCACCACACAAGTTTTCCATCTTGCCAAAAGCCTGATCCCTTATAATTTACTAACTTTAGTTTTTTTTAATGGTAATACACTTATTTCATTAGATTAATAACTAAAAAGTAATCTTATTAAGAAATGAAAACTTTTGAACCCGTACTCCAGAAGTTATTCATATTTTTAAATATAGAGTTGAGATAGTGAACAGCATGTAGGCGATATTTATAGTCTATGTTGAATTATCTTCATTATCTTTATTAGGAAGCTCATAAACCAATTCTATTAATGCTAACTCCTCTAGATACTTACAGCGCCTAGTAGATCATTATACAATATGTAATTTTAAAAAGAGTATGTACAATTAAAAACTTCATACATAATTAATAAAATACCCAGCACTATAGGTCGCGCAAAATGGGAACGTGGCATTGTTAGGTCCAGTATAGATGATATCTGACAACGATTAACATCACTATCATAAAAAACGCTTAAATGCAAATCTCAGCTTTTACGTGTGTACTCGTAGTGAGTAGTCGTACAGTGCAACAGCTACCAGCCTTATCTATATCATTAAGCTTATCGCCAACTGTGCCGATTGAAAAAATTCAGGTAATATGATTATTTTTATCTACATTACCTACCCACCGTTATAAACTACATCAAACAAACAACAAAAACCCGTCCGACTACTGAACCATGAGTTCGGCCAGCGGATCATCATTACCTTCACGTTCACAATCGATTAATTCTTCTAACATTAATAACTCCAACAAAGCGATAACACCGATCAAGATTATTAAAAACTCATCTAACGACGACTCTGTATGGAAAACTGTTCCTATTAGCTCACCATGTCATTCCCCAAAATCAAAAATACAAAAAACAAATTCCTTCTCAAGTCCAAACCGTTACTCAGCTCTTACCATAAATGACCACCCAGAGGAAAATGATATCGAAATGAAAACACAAGATAATCTAAAAGAAGTAAACAAAATTCCACCCATTTAC